AAATATACTTTCAGTCTAAATATAATTGTATTGTTCTATATATATATATGCCAATACAAATTTAATTAATTAATTAATTAATTCATGTTTTATTTTATTTACAGCATATATTAAGCATATATTTTAAATACATTTTTGGCCCAGATTTTTATTTCCTCCCTGCCATATGGGTTGCAATATTGTGATGGAGTATGTAGAGTAGATAAAGATACCTTCACTGTTAAACTATGTGCAGTATTGTTCATTTAGCTATAAACATGTTAACAGTTCAACTACCTAATGCTTGCTATACCATTCCTTGAGTCAACAATGAGAATGCAATGCTTTATATACAACAAAATCAAGCTTGCATTTATGCAAAAGTTTGCATTGCATTAGCCGCAAGTGTTTGGACTTGCATAGAGTGTTTTTATAAAACTGCATTATGCAGCAGTAAATGCTCTCTTTTACAAGTAAAGAGACACATTTTCAAAGTAAAATCACAAAGCTCAAGCAAAAAAACAAACACACACAAAATGCTAACGTTTCGCTAAAGTATCTTCAGAAACGTCTCAAAGCCAGCAGCATTCAGAGGCGTCGTGAGATGTCCCATGGGAAAGCAAAGTACCTCAAAGTAGTATCTGTTTCACCAAGTGTTATTAGTCAGCACACTGCTGTTGTGCCTGAGGAAAGACTTCTGAACTTTCTTACAGCGGGCGGCTGGATAGCAGCTGACCTTGCACTCAGCAAATCACTGCGCTGAGGGCTTTCTGTGGTTTCGTGGAGGTTAGAGATGTATAACTCTGTGTGTGACGCAACCAGTTTCCAGCGTAAATTTTCTGTCCTCTCTGAAAGTGAAAATGCTTATGGTGAAAAGTCCTATGGTCAGAAGAGCGAGTGACTTCTGTCCATGAGGTCATTGACGTTTCCTCTGTTTTCTTCTTCTTCCTGTTCTTCCTGTTCTGCTTGTCTTCAGTAAATAGTTACCATCCAAAATGATATCAGAACTAATGAGACACAAAACTATATGCGTTTCATTATTGTTGGGTGATTCTAAAAACTAGCTGAGGAATAATAGTAGGGCTACATTTGGCAGTGTTGAATCAATATTGTTCCATAAATATTATAGCTTAATGATTTTTTTAAGTGACTATAAATGCTTTTTTTTTTTTTTTTTAACAATGTATAAATTATTCATATGTTGCACACAGATGGAAACACAGAAGATATAAAGATAGAAAAAAATAATTTCTTGAAGAAAGGTGGAAGTATAAAATGTAGTAATATACATATTTAATGTATATGTGACCCTGGGCCACAAAAAAGTTGCATGGGTATATTTGTAGCAATAGCTAACAATATATTGTATGGGTCAAAATTATCGATTTTTCTTTTATGCCAAAAATCATTAGGATATTAAGTAAAGATCATGTTCCAAATTTCCTGCCGTTAAATTTCCAACACTAAATATATCAAAACTTAAATGCATTGCT